CACATACACACACACATACATATATATATATATATATATATATGTGTGTGTGTGTGTACAAGTCTCATTGAAAACTACTGAAAAATACTGCAGTTAAGTTTTTTATTTAATTTTTCTTTTGTTCGTATACATGTTTTCTTTTCTGAAAACTATAAGCCAGATGAATTTTCTCTTAGAAACATTTTAAAGAAATAGACAACCTCAGTCGACTAGAACAAGAAAATTAAATTAATTATCTGCTATAAAAAAATTTAAAACAGGTAACCTTATCATTAACTATAACAACACACCGGCAAGATGTAAATTACAGAGAATTAATATCATGCCCGCCTGTTCCAAAGAAGGCCAAGGTCGTTTCATCTACAGGTAAGGGGATAACCTCAGTTTTGGGGGGATACAAAAGGCAGTGCGTTTCTTAAAAGGGCCACACCATCAGTGGAGAGTACTGTACCAATTTGCTGGGGCAGTTACAAAAGGCTATCAAGACCAAACAGCCAGTAAAAAATTCGAAAGGGTTTCATCTTTAGAATGCTCAACTGGCCTTCTGTTCTTTTATTTTACTCTTTTACGGATGCCATGTTCTTTGGAAGCTTTTGGAGACCAAGTTAATGGCTTCCTCTACGTGAATAGGAGTTCACTTTTAAATAAGAAGAATTATATGTAACGGCGGTGGGGGACATCATGATTTTAGAGATGCCTAAGTAGCTCATGACCCCAAAAATGTTTGTGAACCATTAAACTAGACGATATCCCTAAACAATGTCAGAAAACTTTCGACAAAATCATTAAGACTCTAACAGCAGATTTATTTTTAGCGCATTATGATCCAAAATTGGAAATAATAGTCGAGAGTGACGCGAGTGCCTATGGTGTTGGGGCATGTATACTTCATAAAATGCCGGATGGGACACTAAAACTCATCGCGCATGCGTCAAGGATGTTCCTTCCAGCCGAACAAAATTACTCGCAAATCGAAAAAGAAGCGCCGGGGATTATTTTTGCGATTACAAGATTCCACAGATATATTTACAGTAGATTTTTCACCTTGCAGACGGACCACAAACCGTTACTAACAATATCTGGATCAAAGAAAGGTCTACCTGTCTACACTGCTAATAGATTACTAAGATGGGGGACGATTTTATTAAATTATAATTTCAAATTGGAGTATCTTCCATTAAACAAAATCGGGCAAGCAGGCGGTCTTTCGAGACTAATACCAAAGAAAACGGAGCCATTAGAAGATTCCGTAATTGCAGCTCTACGATATGAGGAAGATATTAGAACATCATTATGTAGTACAATTCGAAACCTCCCCGTCACATCACAGGAAATAAGCAGTGAATGACGAATTTATAAAGGAAACGAAAACAAAAATTGCAGGAAAAGATAAACATATATCAGACAGTTTTTCGTTATGTGATAATGTTCTGCTATATAATGAAAGAGTAGTAACCCCGAAAACGCTACAAAGGCGAATCCTCAAGGATTTTTACATGGGCCACACAGGAAAGAACAGGATGAAATCCTTAATGCGAAGTTACGTGTACTGGCCAAACATGGATCAAGATATTATACATATGGTGGACAAATGCAAGAGCTGTTCCTTAGCAGCCAAGGCACCTCCGATCACTCATAAGCCATGGCCTAAGACAGATCGACCGTGGTCGAGAATCCATATAGATTTCGCAGGTCCATTAGATGGTTTCTACTACTTGATTGTAGTAGACAGTTACAGCAAATGGCCAGAAGTATTTCGTTGTAGAAAACCTACTTCTGAGACGACAATAAATTGCCTTCACGAGTTGTTTGCTCGTTTCGGAGTGGTTGATTGTTTAGTCACCGATAATGGGATACAATTTACAACTGCGGATTTTCAAGAATTTTGTGAAACTTTTCAGGTGAAACACATCATATCTCCGCCATATCACCCAAGGTCAAACGGGCAAGCGGAGAATTTTGTAGATACATTAAAAAGAGCACTAAGGAAAGCTTATGATGTACCAACAGAAAAGGCTTTACAACAATTCTTTCAAGTGTATAGAATTACACCGAACAGTACTACGCCATCGGCATTATCACCGGCGAAAGTAATGTTCGTCCGAAAAATTAGATCGGTATTCGACAAATTACTGCCAAAACAGACAAAGCAATCGCCAACGTCGTTTGTACCAAAAAGAAAATTTAGCTCAGGGGAGAAAGTTTTTTTTTTTAAATGTTCAAAAACAACACATCCTATTGGGAGCCAGGTAGAATAGAGAAACGAATCGGGAACGTGATTTACATAATTCAGGTTCCGAAGTTCTCGCATAAAAGGCACTTAAATCAGATCAGAAAGAGGCTGTTAGAGGATTCTAACGGTCTACCTCAGGAAGAGGAGGAAGTAATGGACACAATATTTGACACATTCAATATGCAAAGGCCTCAAGCAATTTCAGAACCGCGGAAATCAAGCAGAAAAAGAAAATTTACAGAGCCTTTGATGATTAATCCGAAGAGGAAAAAAATATTAAAGACCCCTGCGAGGTAAAAGCTTGGGAGGGGGGTCCTTACCTACAACTACAGAATGAACTCTTCCTAACACTATGTATACCACGCCTCTCAAGAGAGAGGGTCGAATCGAGCCGAGCCGATATTAGTTCACTCCAAGCCAGACTGACAGTCATACTAACACCTTCCACATCTTGTATTATTATTTCGTGTAATATACCTTCGTTATTTCTACT